CCCCCCCCCCCCCCGCCGCCTTTACCCCGCTTTTTTCCCTCGCTATTCTATCCAGGGTTTCTTCCTCTTCTTGGTGACAATAGTCGGCCCATACTAATCAGGTTTCAAAGTAAATAGCAGCGCGGGGCGAGCTCAATGTAAATTGTGCCTGTCAGAGCTCTAGCCCCCCCACCACCCCACCTCCCTCTCCACCCCACCCCACAGCCCCGCTCACCCTCCCAGCCCTCCAGATTCGTGGATGGATGCGCGCTGCAAGAAATATCCCCCCGCAGACGGAAAGGAAAAGCTCCGGTTCGGCTCGGAATCCTCACCCGGCAAGAAACCCCCGAATGGACTGAAATCTGGATGAAACAGGAGTCGGCTGGATCTGGATCTTCACTCAGGAGGGGGAGTGTGTGTGTGGGGGGGTGAGACCGAGATGCTTCGACTTGGTGCCGATCGATCCGTCTCTGCGAATTTGACTCCGCTTTTCTGACCGGTGTGAGTGAGAGAGAGGGGGGGGGGGGGGGGGATCTCTGCGGCTTCAGGACGCTCTCCTTCCCCATGCGTGGAGATTCATTCATCTATTTATTTTGAAAACAGCGAATGGCTGCGACGGAAAGCTGACAGTGTTGTGCAAGCTGCGCGCGCTTCTCGCTGCAGGGGAAACGTCGTTCGGCGCAACGTTTGAACGAGGGACTCCTCACGCGGATATTTTTTGCAGCGGCTGAACGGAAAGGGGGGGGGGGGACTCTATCCAATGGAGAGAGAGCGAGGGCTTGGCTATAACCTTAGCCTCCCATTTTCTCTCTCTCCCCCTCGATCTCCCCCCCTCCCCTCCTGTCCTCCTCTCCTCTCCTCCTCCTCTATGCAGGGCTCTGGCCAGTCAGTCCTCTTTGATTATCAGTCTCCAGCAGCCCCTCTCTTGGCTCCTTGACACGAGCACCATATAAGGCGCAGCGATCTCCATAGAAACGTGTCAGTTTCAATAGTAGTGTCAAAGTTCACTATATACAGACATTCGCGCAGATCCCCCGTTTCGGAAACATTGCTCTGCTGCTCCTCTCGTTTAAGCGCATTCATTTTTTGGGTCTCTCCTTCTTTTTTCTTCTTGCATATTCTATTAGTAGTTGGTGTTTTTTCCTCTTCTTCTTCTTTTTTTTTTTTTTTTTTTGTTTTTTTTTTTTTTTTCTTCCTCCTCTTCCATTCCTCCTGCTGGAGAGAGGTGAAACTATACATGGGTACTTCATTTGGCGACGCCGTTTTCCTTCGCAGCCGCGCGAGATGATGAGGTTTATTTAAGACTATAGATGTAAAGAAGAGGACGAAACATCCAGCTCTTCAGGGGTGGGTTTTTTTTTTCTTCTTCTTCATCATCCTCTTCCTATACGACGAAGACGGGAGCGTAAAGGAGCCAGAGGAAGAAAGGAGAAAGGAATTTATCTCCGCAGCACTTTGGATCGCGTCCTTCCAGCAAGAAAAAGGTTTTCTTTTTTCAGCCCCTCTGCTTGTTTTTTTTTACTGCCTCCATGTGAATCGCTCCTGCCTTTCTTTTGTGGCTATTTTTTTTTATTTATCCAGCTGGTATTTTTTTCCTCATTTGGACTCGGGTTTTCCTACAAGATTAGGAGATTCCTGAATGGCTGACTGCAATATACCTTGGACCTGGCCTCCCGATACTTGCTCCTGATCGGGTGCCTTTCCAGTCGCCCTCCTGCGTTTTGAATGTATTGATCGCCTTTGCTCCCCCCCTCTGAACCCATATGAGACTGCGTGCGCCGATTTGACTTTGCACTGTCCCGGCTTTTTCTTTCAGATCGCTCGCCCCCCCCCAACCCCCTTTTTTTTTTTTTTTTTTGGTGATTATATTGTTTTTTTCTATTTTCTCTCCACTGCGCTCCATCACCATCGGCGATCATTTCGCTTTATAGCACTTTCCGGGGCCGAGATATGGCAATGGTAGTTAGCGTCTGGCGAGATCCGCAGGAGGACGTGGCCGGAGGACCCCCGAGCGGCCCCAATCCAGCAGCGCAGCCGGCGAGGGAGCAGCAGCAAGCGGCGTCCGCTGCGCCGCACACTCCGCAGACCCCCAGCCAGCCGGGACCCCCGTCGACGCCGGGGACGGCGGGGGACAAGGGGAGTCAGAATTCTGGACAGAGTCAGCAGCATATTGAATGTGTGGTCTGTGGGGACAAGTCGAGCGGCAAGCACTACGGCCAGTTCACCTGCGAGGGATGCAAAAGTTTCTTCAAGAGGAGTGTACGGAGGAACTTAACGTACTCATGTCGTGCCAACAGGAACTGTCCCATTGATCAGCACCACCGGAACCAGTGCCAATACTGCCGGCTGAAGAAGTGCTTAAAAGTGGGGATGCGGCGTGAAGGTGAATATGCGTTTTGAAGCCCACTCATGATCACGCATCCACAACACACGCGGCTGCCATGTTGCATTAAGGTCACAGACTGACTGGGCATGTATGCTGCAGACTCCATCTTTTTAGGGATGTTTGCACGAATTGTTCTGCTGTGTGTGTCTCTCTGTGTGAGTGTGTGTGTGAGTGTGTGTGTGAGGGGGTAAAAGGCCAATGCAGTCACAGCAGCTCGTGAACAAAGCGGCTGCTAAACCCTTTTATTTTCCTTCTCCTCTTGCAGTGGAAACTGCACCAAAAGACATAACGTCCATGTCTATTTTACGCAGAGCGTGAATGGTAGATGTGTGTGTGTGTGCGTGTGTGTTAGACACACTGTGTGTGTGTGTGTGAGAGAGAGTGTGTTTTGATTGATGCTAATGGTCCCATCACTAACAGCCCCTCAGTAAGCTTACAAATTTATAATTCAGCAGATTTTCTAATCTACGTGTGCGTGAATGTAGAATGAGCACACAACAAGGCGACGTCGTATTATTTGGCTCTCGTGCAGCTAAAACACTCAATCACGTCGCTGAAGTAGCTCGTGGCTCTGTGTTCTGCTCGCTGCTCCACAGGCCACGAGATCCCAACTTTCCCCTGCATGTCAGTTTGATTTCCAGTTGATGAAGACATCCCCCAGTTTAAGTGGATTATTTGCACTGCACACTGCAAATCCCGTGCATTATGTGCACTGATTAGGATTTGTGCTGAAATATCAAACACTGGGTGGGTTCTTTTTTGTTTATTCCCAGCTGGCCGTTGGAATTAGACTCAGTGCGTAAACGTGATTTTATTCCCAGAGAATTATCAATAATAGCTGTAACAGTTTGGCTACACTTAAAAAATATATTCACATTTGTATAAAATAGTGCCACAGACAGAAAGCAAAAGCCTCTAAAACGTCCATAATAGCAAATGTGTGTAATTTGCTTTATAATAATAGATAATGTGCATTTTGTGTGTTTTATTTGCATACATGCCCGAGTCTGTGTCCTTAAATACAAAATACACTGAAGGTTGAGGGTTAGAGCACATGCTGTATGGAATATAGTGAAATTATTAACTCTATCATATAATAGGTGTAAAGAATAAAGATCAATAAACAGCAGGCAAATGTTTTGATCAGCTGCTAAGTTATTTATTCCACAGTAGGACATTTTACACAGATGAAACATTGGCTGTAGCCTGTTAAACGGTTGCACTACTGATGGACAGTGTTTATCAGTCATGGATGCACATTTCCTCTTTTTCTCTTTCTTTTTGTCAGCGGTTCAGCGAGGACGAATGCCTCCAACCCAGCCCAACCCAGGCCAGTACGCGCTGACGAACGGGGACCCCCTGAACGGCCACTGCTATCTGTCCGGATACATCTCGTTGCTGCTGCGGGCAGAGCCCTACCCCACGTCCCGCTACGGGAGCCAGTGCATGCAGCCCAACAACATCATGGGCATCGAGAACATCTGCGAGCTGGCGGCTCGCTTGCTCTTCAGCGCCGTGGAGTGGGCGAGGAACATCCCTTTCTTCCCCGACCTGCAGATCACCGACCAGGTGTCCCTTCTCAGGCTGACGTGGAGCGAGTTGTTTGTGCTTAACGCGGCCCAGTGCTCCATGCCTCTGCATGTGGCTCCTCTGCTGGCCGCCGCGGGCCTCCACGCCTCCCCGATGTCCGCGGACCGCGTCGTGGCTTTCATGGATCACATCCGGATCTTCCAGGAGCAAGTGGAGAAGCTTAAGACCCTGCACGTGGACTCGGCAGAGTACAGCTGCCTCAAGGCCATCGTGCTCTTTACATCAGGTGGGTCATCAGGTCCAACGTGCACGCGCGCGCGCATACATACACACATTTGATGTCTGTCATAAGACGAGGTGGGGTTATTGGGGAGTGAGAGCGCACAGAGGCATCAAGAACATGGCTGTCAGGGTACTGGTCACAGATCACAGTGCCCCAAGTGTGTGTGTGTGTGTGTGTGTGTGTGTGTGTGTGTGTGTGTGTGTG